GGTCACTTCCTGTCTGCAATTTCTCGGATTCCACTTCACCACAATGAAAACTGTTGAAAAATATGGCGATCGCGACGTTAGCGACACCACCCGCCGGCGACGGCGCGCACACCTCAGACGCTTCTGGCGGCCCGGGGTCGGACGCACCAGCTGCCGACGATGGTAACGCCCCTCAAGACACCGATGGAAACACCCGCCGGCTCTGATATGCCTGGCACCGATGACGCGGACGACTCCAAGGACGCTGAGAAAGGTTCGCCCGCGATCGGGAAGGAGAGCGACACAGAGGAAAATAGTGCTGGGAAGCCACTTCCAGCTGACAAGGTCGGGGACACCGCCGACAAACACGGCTCTAGGAGCCCTTCCATATCGTCGCAGCCAGCGCCGAGCCTAGTGTCGGGTGGAGCGCACTTCATCTCCATTGCCGAGTCCGACAGGATCCGCTTGCCGGGGATCATCCCCTCGTCCACGACTTCACTTTCCATGGGGACGCCAGTCGTTCCTGTGAGCTGGGATGTCCCGCCCAGCTTTGATTCGTCTTATCGTTGGGGTTCCGGCCGCAGAAACCTCCACGCAGCGCGGGTCGAGGATGTACGACGGGTGCGGCGGTTTAGAGACTCCTCTCTTGTTTGAGAGGTTGAAGTTCGGAGGATCTCGCGGACGTGGAGGGACTGCTGGACCATGACGCATTAGATTTCCTACTCCAAATACGCAATTACGCTCCGACGGCTCAGGAACGGGACACTGAAGCTCGCTCCTCCCTCGTTCAGCGGGAGATCGCTTCAATTTTGGCCCACTTCTCTTCAATACGTCTTGCGGAGCGCGTTTACAACACCATGTCGTTCTTAAGACGCCTTCTCGTCAAGATTCGAGACCTTCCAGATCACATTCAGCGTCTGGACGCAAACAAGTCCTCTAAACACGCCCTCCGGCTCCAAGACACGAATCATGCTCTAGAACGTGAGAGGACAGCCATGTTCCAGTACTGGTTCCACCATGTCCAAGATGTTGAGCGTCGAAGCTCTGCGACGATGGCGACCCGGACTCGTTTCTTCCACAATGTGGACAAGGGTCTGAAACGTAAGGCTCAGGCATTACAAGACGAGAACACTCGACTCCGAACCGAGCTGTGGGCTGCACAAGACACCCAGGAAATCGCGGAATGTCGTGGTGACGACAACGTGTTGGATCCTGACGACCTGCTAGATTTCTTGATGCGGAATGAAAGTGGAGTCACGGTCATATACAATTGGGAGCGTCTGAGAGACATCTTCCGGCATTACGCCGAGGGCACTAAGCCTCCCAGTACTTGGAACACTCACATCAACGTGACTGCCATGGACAACGTACGCTACACGCCTCCAGACTACGTGAAGCCTGACCCGCGTCCGAGGAACCCTCGCCGTGGTGGTGGGTCTGGACCCAAGCCGCAACTCCAAAGCCGGTCAGAGTTCTGGACCTGACGGGTAGCGGAGGGTGGAGGCCCTCCAACACAACGTCACGACCTTCCAGAACGCGATCAACCTCTGGCACCAAACGTAAGGCGTCACAGCAACCTGATTCTGGTCGCGGTGGCAGTTCCCGCAAGTTGGAGTTCGATGTCATGGAGGAGAGGCAGACGCGCCCTAAGGAACACCGCCCCCGAGATGATCTCCCCCGCGGTTCTGACGAGGACTTGGACTCAGCGAGGGAGGCCGATGCACAGAAACGCATCCCGGAAGGTCTACCCTGGGACGACCTTCGGCAGGACGTCCGCATGTTGATGATCACAGGCCTCACGTACGAGGAAGCCCTGAAATTGTTGCGTGGAGACGGCCCATTCAACCACCTTCTGCCTGGATATATGGTGCAGCTCAGATGATAGACTGGGGAACTTTGGATTTTACACCCTGGAGCAAATATGTGCCTGGGTCAAACTCTCTGGATGCCGAGAATCTGGACCGGGATTTGAGTTGTGGATAGTCTCGGGCTTGATAAAAGGCCTTCGTTGGACAAGTGTGATCAGAAACTTCAGAAACTTAAGGATCTGGCTGCGGAGGTCGACACGATCAACGGCGCCCTCTCCGAGTCGTCAGACGACGAGACTCACGATCTCTGAAACCGGGCGCGGAGGAGGCTGAGAAAGAGAAGAGACTCGGGACGAGACTGAGGATCTAGATGTTGGCGCGGACGAGGTACCTACAAACGCTACTGACGCTAGTCCGAAGACTGCCAGTCAAGCGAGTTCTGGCGCGCGACGCCCCTCACAAAACGCCGGCAACAAATCCAAGGTGACATCTAGAGCTCCAGACACCAAGGTCATCAAGAGAGTCAAGACGCACACCGGTCGCGCCAAGGGGGCGCGTCATCCCACAGACTTGGCTACTCGCGACTTCCAGTCTCTGAGTGAAGACGAGCTGCTGATCATCGACGTTACCAGCACCTTTCGAATCTTCGGAATCAAAATGAAGTTCTCTGACAAGGTCCAGACCCTCGGCTTCCCAGATTATGAGCCACACAAGCATGAGACCAAGTATCTCAAGGATCGTTGGTCTATGGAGGCATGGGATGAGTTCTTGGGCGTTGTTCGAGTGAAAAAGTCTGGAACTAAAGGACATCGTGGAACTACGTCAAAGCGCAACGCCTCTGAGGCAGGTGCATACGGTTCAGGCTCAGACCCCAGCGCGAGGGAATCGAAGGTCCTCGATTCTGTACTTCCCTGGATCCAAATGTTCGAGGACCGTTCCAAAGAGTTCTACTTCCACCACGTCCGTGATCTGAGCAAAGGGGTCATGCGTGGGATCAGAGAATACTTGGAGTCCATGGAAGAACATGCTGAAGGCTGGTGGTACATACTGCACTGGTTCATGATGTCCATGGAGGATGATCGAGCAAAAAACTCCATCTGTGGCGTCGCAAGTGTCGGGAGTCTCTGGTCCGGAACTTCTTTATCTTAGTCCAACGTTAGGAGAAGATTGACAAGTTCCCCAAGACACTCTGGTACGAGCCGGTTTTGTGGATTCTTCCTAACACTATATGCTACTGGATCTTCATGGATCCCTCGGTGAACTTCCGAACCGTGTCAGGGGTTGCTGACTTGCGCGCGGAGCTTCTGGAACTGGACGAGAGAAAACCTGCGCGTACAATCTGGGCAGATGCTGCGAGTGAAACTGCGCGTCTGGAACACGTACCAGAGGCGTTCGTCTCCAAACGTCTGCTCCCGAAAATCGAGCGGGCCAAAAACCTGCTGCCGATTCCAAGACCTCCCTCCACTCCGAAGCCAAGGATTACGAAGGAGCTATACCAGCTCCGTCTCGCCCAGGATGCTACATCGGCGGGCTCCACCTCTGACTGAGTGTCTAACTCGAGGCCACTTAATGCACTTCAGACTCGGCCTTCAGTGCCCATGCATATCATAGCGTATCCGTTTAATCCAATAATCAAATATTGAAGTCTCACCTTGCTCCATTCTCGTCAAAGTCACATTAAAGCGGGGCAGACTACCCAACGAATCTCCATTCCATACGCATCACTCGCACTGAGCTCTGGAACCACCTTGCCTTAGCCAGGTATTCGCGCGTGGCCCCTCAGTCACTATAATAACACACGACTTCTCTGAAAAGAGGCACATAATGGTTGGAACCAGACTCAACTTCTCAGGATCAGGGCCTACATCTCCGCGTAGTCATCGTTCCCAGACTGCATGGCTGTGGAACGAGCTTTTGCACGTGCTGACTGGTTGAACTTATACGGAAGGGAGCCACAATTCAATTGTGAGACGGGCAGCCACTGAAGTTCGTCGTATCCCTTCCACTTAATGAGATATTCGCGGATACCCTTCGCATTCCGGGTGCGCTTGGTCCTTCTTAAATCCGCAATTTCTTCCGCTTCATACTCCTGATGCATCGAATCCGGTTCCCAACTATCTTCCGGCAATAAAGCCGCATCAAAATCATCTTCCTCTGAAACGTCAATCCTTAAAGACGGCCGTTTCGGGAACAGGGCGCGTGGTTTCAGACGACTAATGTGGACCCATGGCTCTACACGGTAGCCTGTGCCCTGAACCTTCAATTTCACCTTGAAATCGTCCCGAACCTGCTCAATTCTGAATGGTCCATGGCACAAATGAGCCAATTTACGACTCAGACCTGGCAGGACTTTCGGGATATATAACCAGACCGAGTCACCTACTCCGAAACCAGACTTGAGGTGATCCGATAGCACCTTCCACTTCTGAGTCTGAACCGCGGATCGCGTACGCTTGGCCCTCTTCTGGATCTTCTCCGCACAGTCGTGGGCATAGCTGTAGTCTCGTTGCTATTTTCGACGACATTCGTACGCGGTACGTTCTGCGACATCCGTCGGTTTAGCATCCAGCATAGCTGATATAGTACTCCGACAATCAAACCCGTGTAGCAGGTAGAACGGCGTATCCAATCTAGTCGCATCGAAAGAAGTATTCATGGCATGCATGAGCTTCTCTGCATTGTCGTCCTAGTCGGTTTGGTCGGGACCTTCGACATACGCTCTGATACTGTGCATAATTGTCTGACCCGACCGTTCCTGCTGGCCATGGACTTGAGGACGATACGCGAGCGTTGCTTTCTGTTGGATACCCATCATCTCACCGAAACGACGGAATACCCGACTCATGAGCCGGGGATCTCTGTCGTGTCGTATTTCAGAACTTGCGCCATAGTTCCTGAACACGACCTCTTCATAGGCTTCAGCACAGTCTTGGGCGGTAGTGCTTCTCATGGGTTTACACATAACGTAGCCTGTGAACATATCCTAAAACAAGAGTAGGAACGTATTACCACGTTCCGACTTCGGGAGATGTGTGACAAAATCCATGGACACTACTTCGAATGGACCAGTCGGTTCAATATTCCCGGGAGAGGGTCCTGGATTCGGAGGTCGCCCCTTAGCGGACGCGCAATCCGTGCATTCCTTGACAAACATTTCGACGTCTTGGAACATCCCGATCCAGAAGAACTCTGAACGCAGACGCTCATATGTCCTGGTGATGCCTTGATGGCCACTCTGGAAATCTTCGTGAGCGTGGTGTAGGATGTCTGGTCGCAAGGCTTCCGGTACAACTAGTCGAAGTTCAGAACGCTTATCCCTAGGACGTTCAGGGGTAGGCGCAGCCAAACGGTAAAGGACGTCTCTTGAGTCTAGAACATATCGGTCTGAACCCTTCGCGAATTTCTTGTCTTCCTTCCACGCATTGTTTAACAGGTCACCTTTCAGATAATCCTTGAGCCTTTTTAGCTCTGGATCCTCATCCTGATGGACTTTAATCCGTCTCCAACATTCGTCTCGATAGTCAAGTGGACGGCTCGGGTCATCCACTTGGGCAACCTGTCTGGAACGACTTCGGGTTGTAACTATCTTCACGGGTGTTACTGTCTCAGACGCGTTTGGGACAGGGTCTGGAACGAGGTCACTTGGACGTTGACTCTGACCTCCATCGGTAAAGCCCCGGGTTTTAACTATGCGTCGTCTTTTCGTTCCGAGGTCTCCGGAGTCTTTATAATCTTCTCCGCGATCCTGGAGACAAATTTTAAATGCATCAGTTCATCCGCATCTTCCACCACCCATGCTTTCCCGAGTGCTAATGTCTTCGTCGTCAAGTAGTCTGCTGCCTGGTTGTAATCACGTTT